AAAAAAAATAAAAAAAAATTTAAAAAAAATCATGTAAACAAGAGACAGACACAAAACCTAAAGAACCAAAGTGATTTCTTGTCCAACAGCCGAAGCCAAGGGAGAAAGAGACCAAAAATACTGCCCAGGAATTGAAGATTCTTAATTTCAGCACCAGTATCTTCCTTCTCTTCCTCACAAGAGCAATACCTGAGTGCTGGCAGGCAAAAGAAAAGCCACTGTGGATTATCTGTGGTTTTTTAATCACCTTCCTATTTGAATGCTTGGTAAAGAATTAAGATCTGAGCTCCAAAAGCAGCAAAAATCTAAATCAAGGATATAAACACACCCAGCTTCCTCTGCTCAGTTCACATCTAGGGCACAACGAGCTCAAATCAGGTGTTTTTTAAAGTCCCAGAGGAGCTCCATTCTGAAATAACTTCCATTTTTCCTTGGCCATTAAATCCTGCTCGTCAGATGAAGTCTGAGCATTCTGCCCACTCCATTTTTCTCATGGAAAATGGGAAATGGATGTGGGAAATGAGGATCCCAAAGCCCTTCAGAGCTCTTAATCCAGGCAACACAAAACTCCTCTGTAGAAATACCATTATTTGGGTTTTGTGTCTCTCTCCTCTGCTTCATCAATACATTCTTGTTGGAAAACAAGGAATAAAATGAAATAAAGTTGTTGTTCTCATCCAGCTGCCTGTGCCAGTCAAGAGCTCAAAGCTTCAAGGTTCTCCTCAGCCTCTTTTGCTTTTTCTTTGCTGCACAAACCACGTCAGGCAACATTTGGCTCCTGAAATCATCATTTACCCAGGGATCTCTGTGATTGGCACTGCCAGGAAAGAAAGGAAATGCAAATGGGAAAGGAGATACAAGTGTGGGAACCTGCTCAATCCGGCTGAAAAATAACTCATTTAGCAGAAATCGTTGGGAGAAATAAATGCTGTCAGAGGCAGGAGTCAAACAGTAAATAAGCCTCACCCAATTTCAATGTGGAGCTGCTTAAAAACATTCCTCACTGTAATGTGCAGTTTAAACACTTAGGAAAATTGCCAGGAGGTGTCAAAACAGCCAAAAGAATCTGAAAATAAAATTGCACTTAAATAAATCCCCCTCAGCCCTGCTAAAGCTCTCAGGTTCACTCACTACCACAAAGCTGTGTTGAAGGGAAAGATGTTTTCCAGCTATATGTGCCCAGATGATGATGATTTTTAACTTTTCAATGCATAAACTGCCTTCTTCTGTACCCCTTAATCCAAAATTACAGCCTCAGTTTTGTCATATTTGGCATCTCAGCACCTTTGCACTTAATTATCCTTCAGGACATCAGGAAGGATCAGAAACCCACAAGAAATGAGCAAAATTCTCCTAAAAACCTCAGCAGCAGAACTTTGTCCTACCTGGTGCTGTCAGTATTTCTGCTTTGTAGGTTTTACAAATCCATCACCCTTCACATGGATCTCCAATTTCACCTTCACCTCTGTTCCCAGAAATCCCATTTAATTAAACAGCTTCCAGGTATTTAAATCCAGTGGAAGTTCTGGTTTGCCAGGGGATTCATTTTATAGGAAACTGCTATGATTGAAATCAAAAATTCTGCTCAACTGCACTGAGAGAGTCTCTACCCCAAATTCTGGTCATTTTAGGCTGGCAGAAAATACAGCCCTCTGCAAAAAACTGTCCCTCTCCAAAAATTTAACAATGGTTTTACTCCACTACCTAGAATTTAAAGCTATTTCTCTATTAATTTTCAGCCCAAAAAACCTTAAAAGTAAGGTTTTAAAACCTAAAACTGCATATAAGCTTCACACATTGTAAACAAGTTTTACACCCCCAAAATAGTGAGCACAAGCTACTCTGCATTTTATTTCACAAGGAAATCAACCAAAATACGACCTCTCCACACTGCTGAGAGCCTTTCCCATAAAAGTCTTGGAATATATTCCAAGCCCTACTTCTTAATGAGCCTCACAGCACCACCACAGGAATTTAACTTGGGAGAGAGCAGGTTTCACACACAGGAGCTGGAACAGATGGAGAAATGGGATTTATCAGCTCTGAAGCAGGTTCCAGCAGTCCTGCAGGATGGCAGGCAGGTTCAGGATGGAATTTTAGGGATGGGATTTTCAGAATGGAATAGTCAGGATGGAATTTTCAGGATAACAGGCAGGTTTCAGGATGGAATTTTCAGGATGGAATTTTCAGGATGACAGGTAGGTTTCAGGATGGAATTTTCAGGATGGCAGGTAGGTTTCAGGATGGAATTTTCAGGATGGAATTTTCAGGATGGAATTTTCAGGATAACTGGCAGCTCTCAGGATGGAATTTTCAGGATGGAATTTTCAGGATAACTGGCAGCTCTCAGGATGGAATCTGAGCTCCTGGGGACTCCACTCGGGCCAGGAGATGCTTTCACCACGTCCCACCTGGAGCTGTGTGCACGTGTAACAGGTGAAAATTAACAGTCTAATCCAAATCCAATTAATTCCTAAAACATGGAGAACCAGCAAGGCTGGAAGGGGACGAGGAGAGCACATTGAAAAAGCAAATAAACTGCAGAGAAGTCAAGCGGCCTCTGCTGTAACAGCACGGGCACTCCCCAGCTGAACAACTCATTGCAGGCACTGAATTTCCTGTTACAGAGCCAGGGCCATTCCAGCACTGCTGGGCAGCCTGACAAACACATCCCACTGGGAATTCCACAGGGGTTTGGTGGCTCCCTCAGCCAGGCTTTGTCTGCTCTGGTCACAGATTACAAGAACTACGCTCCTCCTCCAGCCCCAGCCCTAAACATCCACGTCAGGACACAGTGAGAAGTAAAATAAAAACAAACACTTAACAGCAATGACTTTTGTTAACGGGGAAGCAGAAGTTACTTAAACCTGGAATTATTCTCAAATCAAAAATACATATTTGCTTTGAGATAGAGTGCAAACAACGCTCCAGAAAGGTGTTTGCCATGTAGAAATGTGATTAGCAAATCAGAATATTGCATCAGGCCAGGTTTTTCAGTGACTTCGAGATTTAACGTGTAACAAATTGTTCCACTTGTCTCCCTTATCCAGGAGCACTCACTGCACACATTCCACAGGTTCCTCTCCATCCTGTCGTGATAATTGAAGTTTCCATGGGGTGTGGATGTGTAAAAAAGGAAAAAAAGAATAGCACAAATAGTGGTTCTGATTCAAGAGTCAAATAGGAGAGGCTACAACAGTGTCAGATGCTCTCCTTTCACTCCTCACAGCTGCACACAGAATTATTTGCTGACAGGTAATGGACACGATTTAAATCACTCTTCCCTTCACCTCTTCAGATACAATCAGTTATCATTTCTGGAAGTAATGAATCTGCCAGGATGGGAAATCCCAGATGATCTTGATAGAATCAACTTCTTGACTTTCATTTAACCTGCTCTCATCCTTCAGGAGGCAGAACTTCTGCAAGCTTCCATCAGAATAAACTCACTGCAATATCAAGACAGGCACAAGAGTGGGGACAACAGGGAGATCATCCTTCCACGTCCCCAGGGGAGCCACTTCAGTGTCTCAGAAAACCCTCTGGCCTTTGGCATCAGCTCAAATCACAAGAAAATTTCTACAAGGATGTTTTCTACAGGTATTTTCCCTCCTTGGGAGGAAAATTTGTTTTCCTGCCCTCCTTTAGGAATTTTCAGCAGTGTTTATACATCCAAGCCTTCCAGGCATTCCTTTCACTGAGCAGTGTCCTGGAGAAACAGGGGCAGCAGTTTCTGGGCAGGCATTAAAGGTAGAAAAACTACAGAAATTATTCAATTTTAACCAAAAAAAGGGAAAATTTGCAGAGACCAGAAGAGTCACCTTAATCAGTGAATGGATCTGACTGGAAATACTGGTAGAGGGCTATGAGAGAAATCACAGAATGAACAGAATGAACGAGATTGGAAAAGATCATTGAGTCCAACCTCTGACACCTCATCAAACAAACCCTGGCACTGAGTGCCACATCCAGGCGTGTTTTCAACACCTCCAGGGATGGTGACTCCACCACCTCCCTGGGCAGATGATTCCAGTGCCCAATCACCCTTTCAGTGAAGAGTTTCTGACTCACCTGAGCTGCCCTTGGTGCAGCTTACGGCTGTTTTATAAGAAATGATCATTGCCATCACACACAACAATCCTTCCCCAGCCCCATAGCCAAGGGCAGCGCTGCAGCTCCAGCCCCAAAAAGCACAAGCAGCAGGGAATTGAGGAGAGCAATCTGGGAGGATGGGACTGCATCACCTGCAGCTGCAATTGCACAATTCACCCCGAGATGGAAATGGACCAGAACTGATCCAAGTGTGAAACTCCTGAGCCGGGGCCCATCTTGGGTGGAGCCAGGGCCGGGCTCTTGCAGTGCCCAAGGTGATCCTTGGAAGGGCTTTTAATAAATCCCTGCTTTATTCCTTTAACTCTGGCCAGCCCCTGCTCCAGGAGCTTCTGAGGAATCACCCACACCCCTTCAGCCCAGCTCCAAGCAGAACACATCATTTGGGACGGATGTTTCACAACCAGCAGACACAAATTTCCTGTAACAACACCCAGGCCCTCATCCCACAGAGCCACAAAGGCCACTGATGTCCTCCAAAGGTTTGTGGGACACAAACCAGCAAAGAACCCCCGTGTCCACTGTCACCCACAGCACGCCTGAAGCCAGCAGGGCTGTCCCAAACCCCCTGAGCAGGAGGAGCAGCCTCACAGGAGCCAGGACACCGCACACAGCCCCACAGCCCGGGGCATTTATGACTCCTGCAAGGGCCCAGCAGCTTGTCAGACACAGAGATCATCATCTCCAAAGATTCCAAGCAATCCCCATGGATCAATAGCTGCTGTGACAGAGCCCTGCATGCTGAATTAAGCAGAGCTGACAAGTGGGTTGTAAGCACACCGTGTTTAACGATCAGATGAGATTGGGCTCCTAACAAGATTACTCCCTCTTTAGCAGGTGTCTGTGTGCTGGGAAGATAATCCTGCATAATCAACCATCACACACACATGTAAAGTCAAGAAGCAATGGCTCATTAATGAAAATTCTATAGACACAGCCAAGCAGCTGCAGCAAATGTGTTTGACCTCCCACATCTCATCTGAACCTTCAGTGGTGCCAGGCCTCCAGCACCTCCTGGCTCCTCTGCCTGTGTGATCCAGAGCCTGGAGGTAAAAAAACAGCATTTAAAGGATCATCCAGAAATCCACATTTGTGGTTTACAAGCCCCCTATAGGTTTAGAGTGGCACAAAACTCATTTTTTCAGGACCTCGTGTGGACCAAAATGCAGCATTTTCCTGAGCTTCTGTGCCTTCACACAAATAATTCAGCTGGCAGACATCCCAAACCGTGCAGGGGAAACACACCCTTGAAAATGCACCTGAAATCACACAGTGCTGGGAGCTGGCTCTGTGATCCACTGGAACATGTCAGGAAAAATTCATCCACAAACACCAGAGGTTTGTGTCCAAAAAGGAGACAGAGGAGTCCTGTAACTTTATTCAAATAAAGAGAGAGGACATGGGACATTCCCTGTGGGGTCTCTCCAATTTTTGGAGGATGCAGCCTCCTTTTTATCCCAATTTCCCTCTCTCTTTCCCCACTGCCTGAGGAACTTGAGAGGCACAGACTTCCCAGAGTGTCTGATACCCAAGATTCCCCTCTAATGTATAAACCTCTCTTAATTTTTAACACTTATGGAATTTATGGCTTTTCCCCATTGTTTCTTTCATCTTTCAATATCCAATTTTATTTACCAGCAGACCCACAGCTTGTTTGTAAAGACAAATCCATCATTCCTCTCAAACCTGGCTCCAATGCTCTCAAGCACTCCCAGGTTTTTCACCTGACAGAGAAGACCAAACCCACTAAAAACCTTTGTCCAGAGCAGTGTCACTGCCTTGCCCTCTGTGCACTATTCCAGGCAGTGCTCACCTCAGTTCCAGAATTTTCCACTGATTACCACGTTCTCAGAGAGCACCAAAGCTTCCCAATCCAACAAAACAGGTGAGCATAGAATGGACTTGGCCTGGGGGGAAAAAAACATAGCAGGACAGTTGGAACATTTTCTCATTTTCTCCTCTGTTCTCTCGCTGCTGCTGACTCAAGTCTAATTTAGTGTCAGCATTGCCTTCTCACTCATCTTTCCCCTTTCTCTAAGTGTGTTTAATCTGCTGTAAAATTGTTTTCATGGCTGCAGTGAATGTTATTGTAACTGTTTTACAATGTGCATTATCTGCACTGTGTAAAGGATTTGCCTTCTGTATGCAAATCAATGCCTTGCTGCTGCCACTCCAGGTCTGTGTGCTCACACATCTCACATCCCCAAAGGGCACAGATGCTTTATTTCTTACAGGATTTGTTAAAAAAAAAACACTTGTAACTCAGGTCTACAGAACCAGAGACTGGTTTTAGGATTGAGCCCGAGCTTGGCCAGTTTAATCAGCAATTATTTGGGCCAGGTTGGATTGCTCTGACCCACAACTGCAGCTGTAAGAGCTGAGCCTTAGGAAAGCCAAACTTGAACAGGCATGGTCATAAATCACTGCTCTGACAGGGCAAAAAAAGAATAAAACTGCACAAAATACACCTGTTCTGTGCAGAGAAAATAATTTGGTTTGGGACAATCTGGTTACCTGCAACATCAGGACATGGAATTTTAAATCCTCCCCAGCTTGAGGAATGTTAACCAGATTTAAATGAGTCAAGGTCAGTCAGTATTTTTAATATTGAAAATCAAGGTAAGAAGGTCAGACACAATTTTCCTAAGCTCCCTAAACAATAATATCAATAAATCAGGCTGACTGCCAGTCCTGGATCTCCTGCATCAAAGCTGGCTCCACTTGTCTCAAATTTTGCTGGATTGTTCAAAGACTCAAGGCAACCTGTCAGAAGATAAATTCAGACTTTTCATAATTCTGTGTAGACAGCCAGGCTGTAAAAACAAGGGGAAAACTTTAGAGTTGCCCTTTTTGATCAATATTTTTCAAACACTGAAAAGCATCTCCGAGTTTTCAAAAGCCAAAGCCTTTTTTAAGAGTTTTAAGTTCAAGAACTCGAAACTGGAAACAGGAGAATTCTCCTAAAAATAAAGCATGAATGCTCACATTCCAGAGGGATTCTCCAGGGTGGAGAGACAAGCAGCTCATCCCCAAGATCAATTTTGAGGCACCTCCTGTCACCAGCAGCTGACTGGGACATCAGTGGCCTGGTCCCATCAGCTGTCCTCTCCTGGGAAGGGTCTCAGCTTTGAAATCCTCATTTTCCCAGATCTACAATCCATGGCCAGCAGGAATTCCTCAAGGAATGAGGGTGGAGAGACAGGAATTCTTACCCTGCCACGCAGAACAAGTGTCACCCACACAAGGCACGACAGCTCAAAAGGTGATTTTTGGGACAGCCTGGGATGTGGTTTCCCTGCACAAAGGAGACTTTTCCTGTGGATATTCATGGTCAGCACAGAAACTCCTTCACCAACCTGTCCTCAGCACCCACCACACTTCCAACTTGCCAATTTACCACAGAGAGTGGCCACAGCTGCTTGGAGCAGCCCATTCCTCAGCCTGCCAGTGCAGCAGCACACGAATAACCAGGAAAATCCATGCAAAAAAGCAGGAGGAAATCCTCCATCCCCTATTCTCGGTTACTTTATCTCAACCGTGCTGTTATCAGGATCTCAAGCAACATTGTCATGGCAACCACAACGCCTCCAGCTCTGGGGACAGGGTGGCAGCGGGGAGACACTTGTCTCCACTTTGTTAGCTGGGTAATTGGTCCTGCTGAGCAGGGTCAGCTTTAAGAAAGATGACAGCAGGTAGAGTCTGTCTGCTCAGATACCAGGGCCACCTTATCCTTGGAGCAGATCTCTTGGATTTATGAAACACTTAAGGGGTTAGTGAGCTGTGAAAATCCGATTCCCCACCGCTGCAGTGTGCTGACGAGGAACTTCCTCCTGCGCTTCATCAAGTTTTCATTATCTTTCCGTGTTTTTGCAGGGAGGAAGGCTTCAGGGATTTAAAATGCTGCAATTTTCAGGCTGCATGAGCCTCTCAAATTGGTCACCCTCTCTGGCAGCAACCTCTTCAAGAGCAAGAGCAGTCAGCTGGCCTGAAGCTCTCCAGGCAATGCACAGCACAGATCGAGCCTTGCCTCGAGTTCTTGCTTCTTCATTGTGCCCACAAACAAACAAGCCAGATCCAAAGTGTTTCTGGTGCTCTCTATTTCCACATTCGAGTGTTCTCACATGCTGGGGCAAGGAGAACAACTCCAGCCTTGCCCTCACTGTGATCCAAACAGGATCTCCAGATGAGGTCACAGCAGGAGCTGTTCCTCACCTTGAGCTGTTCCTTACCTTGAGCTGTTCCTCACCTTGAGCTGTTCCTCACCTTGAGCTGTTCCTCACCTGGCCCCAAAGCTGTGAGACTTCCACCTTGGGAGTTTTGAGGCACACAGAGTGCAGATATTTTGAAAACATTCATCCATTAACTCTCCCCTTGAGCAGATCAAAGCCAAATCATTCCCTGATTATTTAAAGATCAATTGAGTCTCTATTTCCTCGCAATCAGCTGGGGCACAGCTCTGGTGAAACACCCAGGGCAGAGGAGTCCATTGCAGGGAAATGCCAGAATTTGAGCTTTTAGGAAACTATCAGCTCAGGAGGAGATTTTAGGGGAAGCAATTTCTCCCTCTTACACATCAAAAGCCCCCATCTCAGACATCCTGCAGGGATCCAGCACACAATGGGGCCAGAGCAGCACTGCAGGGTTTTTCCCCTGATCCTCCCAAACTTTCCTCCCAGAGCTTCACAGAACCACAGCGAGTGTTTTCCTGGCAGCTTCCCCTCACAGGGGGTTTGCCATGAAGCAGGGGGAATCAATCATCCATTGGAGGAATTTGTGAAAGTTTGGAGGAAACAGGAAGATTTTCATATTGCCAATAACCTTGACAAAGCACGAGCGACAGAGAGATGTGGTTAGCAATTAAAAATAGCAATTTGCCATTAAAAAAAAAGTGTTATTTTGCTGTAGCTCTTTATTTTAGGCAGAGCAGGACTCCCAGCTCGGGGTTTCATAAAGCACATGGGCTTCCCCTGTAATGGGACTGAATTATATCCCTCTTAACAATAATCTATCACACTGGAGATATGGCTTTATACAGGAAAACATTTTAAACAAAACCAGCGGTACAAATTAACCACTTTTCAACATTTCATATTAATATAATTTAATGCCTGGAGATTTCTGGCTTCTACAGCAACTTATTCTTCAGTTGACCTGCAGGGCTGACATCACAATAAAAATAATTAATATTAGCTGTGCTATAAATACCCACTCATTTCTACTACAGCGTGCATATTATGTATGACAACCATTCCTTTCCCAAACTTTAAAATCCTGTTTTACAGGCCTCTGTTCCAGCATAATATCCTCATAAACCACAATAGCAGTGCAGCATAGAGAGGACTAAATTAAAAATTAATGGGCCTTGCCAGTGCTGAGCTTTCTCAGAGCCAGGAAAAGGCAGAAGGAGAAAAGTCCTCCCTCCGTGTGAGGGTCCTGTAAAAAACCAACAAACCTGCCCTTCCCTGGCCTGGATTTTGCATCCCCTCCCATAGTTATTTGCCCATGGAAAGGAGGAATACCGACTGCACAAGGAGGTCAAGGCTTGGATTGACACAGGTTTTGTTGGATTGATGCCTGGGGAGGCTCCTGGAGCAGGGGCTGGCCAGAGTTAAAGGAATAAAGCAGGGATTTATTAAAAGCCCTTCCAAGGATCACCTTGGGCACTGCAAGAGCCCGGCCCTGGCTCCACCCAGGATGGACTTTGGGTCAGGAGTTTCACCCTCCCTCTCCCATTTTTACTTCCCCAGAGAACTCAGCATGAAACAAGAGGATGTTCTAGCGGGGAAGTGGCTTCACCCTCAAACACACTGAAAAAAAAATTGAATAAGAAACACCAGACTGCCCTTAGCCATTAAAATGAAGACGCCAGCTCAAAAAACCTTGAGCAATTCTCTCTATCCCCTAAATTATTGCTGCAATTTCAGTGGAAAAAGTGTCCTTTTCCCTTCTCCCCCTCCACTTCAGTGCACTCACAGCAAGCATCCATTTATTTTTATTTTAGTGGATGTTGCACTTTATATAGAAAGCCTACAAATACAGCAGAGTTTATATCAGACTTCCTGTGAACTGCAAAAGTCTTTGCTGGTGCTTTTTGTTGTTATGGTGCCCCATAAAGCCACACAGCTCACAACAGCTCCAGCAGAGGAAAACCAGCAGACTGAAAGCAGTCTATTGAATCAAAAGGGATTTGTTGCATATCAAGGGAAGTTGGGTATCTGTCAATACTTTTGACATGTAACGACAAAATAAAGTTTCAAGTACCCAAGCAAGGGTTTAACCCTTTTAAGACAGCAGAGAAACTGTTAAATCAACCCACACCAAATTTCCCATGGAGTGTCTCATTTTCCAGGACACAGACCTCTTAAACGGGGTCATCACCCAGAATGAGAATTTTCCCACCCATCCAGGAGTTCTGCAGGCACTCAACTCTTCCATTAGGCAGGAACCAGCTCAGAGAGGACCCCCAAGATTTCAGCAGAGGCTCCAAGAGGTGCAGAAATCTCCACTTTGCATTGCAAACGTGCCCGTGGCTGCCCACAAGGTGGAAAACGCCATCACCAAGGCAACCCCTGCCAGGGATCTGCTGGTGCCCGAGGATGATGCTCAGGAACATGAGAACATAATTACTCAGAGGCATCCACAGCTTGTGCCCTTTGGAGAAGCTGCTGGAGAGCCAGGGGTTTCCATGGGAACTGCTTCCTCCCAGCTGTTTCACTTCCCAGGGAGGACAAAAAGGCCCTGGGAGAAAACGAGCTGTGTTTTTTTCCTCTTTTCTCACGTGCAGAGGCCAGAGGGGTGGGAAAGCATTTTCACACAGCCAGGGGTTGGTCCTGGAGGAAAGCAGCAGGGCTCTGCTCCCACAACAGCCTGGATTGCTGCTCTCTGCTTGTTTGTGGGCAGCTATTCCCTTAAAGGATGTTATTGCTTTATCAGCTCGAGAAAAATGCAGTTCTAGAGAGCTCTGGGTCCTTGCAGCAGCTGAATTGCACAGAATGTTGTCCATAAGCTGACATAAAAGCACTGAGCACTTGTCAGCCTGTCAGAGGCACTTGAGACCGAGGATGAATCCTTTCCTGGCTAAAAGCTGGGAGGTTTGAGTGTTTCCCAATCCAGGGAGGAAGTTTAGAGCATAGAAGTCATGTCATCTCCAGTAAATAGCTTTATATCACAGTGATTTATAGCATGGATTGGCACAGAGATCACTGGGGGAGGAGTTTGGGCATCATTTGAGAGGGGAAAAGAAGGGATTTGCCTTTTCACCAGGCTCTCAGCTCCTAAACCAAACCTTACAACTGGACACCTCCAGCCAGCCCTCATCTAAGGCATTTCTTTATTTGTTTTTTTTGCAAAGTACTTTTGTCCAACAGCAGAAACTTGAAACCAAATTATTCTTACAGGCCAGTCCTGACACTGGAACGTCAGTGGCTTTCAAACCACTTCAAACCAAGGAATGCCAGTGGTTTTCCCCCACAGGCTCAGGGGAGCAACATCACCCTGGGTTCCTCAGCTGGCCATAAACACATTAACACATAAACATTACCAGTTCATCTCGGGGTGTTTTATGATCCTGCATGAAGATCAGCACAATTCAGTGCTCAGGTTAATCCATTTTCACGCTTCTGCACCGCTGCCAGCCCTGAACAGGAAAAGATAAACCACTGAAGCAGCTTCAGCTGACCTTTGCTCTTTGGTCTGAGCTCTGACAGGGCTCTCCATCACCCCAAAAACTGAAAGGCTGGAGAGGGATCACCCATTGTGCCCCAAACACACTGAGAATTGATTCATCCCAAATGAAAAATGCCATGAGAGGGGGGTCTCCTCCTGCTGTGCAGGGCAGGGACACCCACAGAGCTTTGGCTGATTTTTCCCTGGGATAATTCCCTGAGTTTCAGACACATCCTGTGTTTACACCCACACCTCTCAGCCAGTGGGGAAGAAACTCCTCAAGGTCCAAGGAGCACATCAGGCAGCTCTGGTGAAAAACCCAAATGCTAAGGAGGGAGCCAGAGCCAGGCCAGGAGCCCTTGTCCAGTCTATTTATAGGAATTCCAGCCGAGCGGAAAGGATGGAGGGCTGGGCTGGCTCTGCTCCCTTCCAGGATGTGCTGTCCTGCTTATTGGACCATGAAATGCTGAGCAGAAGGAAAGGCAGGTTTGTGTGAATAATAATGAAGGTGGAGCATCTGCAGGGTTTTGTTCATGCCTGGAAACTCCTCGAGGCCACTTGACCGAGCTAACAAGGAGAGTGATGAGTGTTTGTTCTTGGGAACGTTCTGGGGGAAGGTGTTTCAGTGTTTTCAGGTGTTTCACTCCCTAGCCCGGTCATTATCCATCAATTAATTATTTCAGATCTAAAAGTAATAGATTCAAGGCCCCAAATAGAAATTTTAAGTGCTCCAGCACAGCAGAAAACGGAAATCTGCTCAAAATCAGTGAAAACCTCACTGTTTTTTCTGCCTTTTGATGTTGAGATCCTCCAGCAGGGGCCATGTGAAAATCACTGCACAAATGTGAAGCCACACAGAGAAAAGTTCTCCAACCCTTCTGTGACATTCACACATAATTATTGCAGGCTCTGTTCATACAAAGCTGTCTATCCCTTCATGTTACTTCCAGAAAATTGTAATTCTCTTGTAGCCTTAACCACAAATTAATTTCAATTACGGAAGGGCCATGTTAACACAGAGGAATGTAATTTCTGTCTGGTTTCATCTCGTGAAAATCCTTGTAAGAATTTATCTCTCATGAGCTGAGGTCACAGGAAGGGATGTGAACTATCACAGCACATCACAGTTCCACAAAACGAGACAAAAAGGGAGCTGAAAGACAAAGAAGGCACGTAGGGAAGCACACATTGCAGATGATGGGCTGTTTGTAC